TGCCACAGGCTTACGAGAGGAAAAAAATAAATTAATACAAAATGTGGAAAGTAAACAATTACATAATAGTTAAGTCAAGTCATAGTAATTAAGTAGATTTTTAATTTTTTTTTTGGGGGGGTCTAGTCTATACTTAGACTTGTAAACGAGTGCAGTTCTAGTGTGTAATTGTGCTTCATTGTATTTTAAATCATTGAAGTTATTGAGTCCCGATGCACAGCCCTCGCACCAGTTTCTCTGCTTCTCAGTATACCTACAAACACACATAACAACATTACATTTCCTGCTCTGATTAACCAGAGAACAAACCAGAGAGAATACAAACTGCAGTGTAAAACAACTACATTCAGTCTACTGATTATGACTGATCATGTTATGTATTAAAGGCACTAAAAGGGCTCATATTGTGCTGTTTTCTGATCTGTTATAATGTTGTTTTCTCATCAAGAACATACCTGAAGTTGAGTTTTGTTTCATACAAGCATGTTTAACTCGCAAATCTTGCATATTTAGGCTGTGTTCTTCTCTCAAACAAAAAAAAAACCCCAAAAAACACTCTATTCCACCTTGTGATGTCATGTGGTAATATAGTAGTGTGTTTTTAAACTCCACACACCTTCACTAGAATCATTTGAATTATTTCAGCCTGGAAGTGCTCATCAGTACTGAAGTAAGAGGTAGCCGTGAACTAGAAAACGAACGCTTTATGACATCACAAGGTGGAACATAGCATTTTGAGGTTTGGAGATGTAGACAGACTGATAATAAAGGGTTACTCATACATGTGTGAATGAAACAAAACACAACTCCAGGTATGATTGACAAGGAACATTATAACATGGCTTACAAGCTCACAAAAGTTAATTTTGAATAATACAAGACCTTTGAAAAATCATGTTAAAAAATAACAACTAATAGTATTGTTAATGTACTTTCTACCTATGTACAAATTTGGCAGCAATTACTTATATCTAGCCATGTAACTGTACTTTCCCTTGAGTATAATTTTTCTGTGCTTTTTCCACCATTGAACCACAGAAAAAAATGTGAAAGAAGTCTGTCCTGTCAGGCTCAGACATGGCCCCTGGATTGTGTCACCTCACGCTTCCCCTCAGCAGACCGCAAATGAAGGATGGGAACAGCAAACGCAGGGAGGAGGGGCGCTCAAAAGGCAAAAGTGCTTTCATCCTGTAAACTGAAAAGACATTATCTTCTGACCTGGAGATGCCCTTTGTGGCAGAGCACAATATGGTGTGAAAAGAGAAGAAGGGAAGGAGAGAGTGAAGAAAAACAACACACAAACTGTAGATGCTGTAAATATAATGGAGGAGATAAACAATGGCTGACGTGATTCGAAATTGCTGTTACTAGGAAAGGACTATTGGGTTATTTTTGTCACACTGACTTCACCTTTGACCCGACAGTTACGTTTTTCAGTTATTCAGGTCAAAGTGGTTTCATAGAAAAATGTTGCAAAACAAACAAACAACAACTTTAGTAGAGACCCACATACCTAAATCACTGTTTTCATATTACCAAATGGACCAAACTGCTAGGTCTCTCTACAGATGGACAGATCGCTAGTTGTTGTCAGCTTTACTGTCATGGCAAAACTCCCCACTGGCTTCTGGGAAAAGCACTTATGAGTTCATCGTGGTGAATAATTAGGATGCTTGAAATGCATAAGGTAAGTAGGGAATACCTTTGGATCACTGCAGAGCATTTACAATGAACTAGTTCTGTTTTTCACAGTTTTAAAACAGTACAATTCAGGTACAGTGCCTTTAACATAAGATGCATTGATTTTTTTAATCCCTCACATCTGACTATACTGAAAACTTTTTAAACTCAGCACATGTACTAGCATTACCTCCCTCACTGTGCATCCCTCATCTTTACTTGATATCCACTTTCTAATAGAAGCTGAAATGCCGACGATAAAAGCAACGTGCCATTCAGTGTGAGGCGAACCCAGCTGGCTGCGGGCCATACCTCGCACTGTAGCGCTGGCATGAATAATGGAGGCCAATCTAGACACAAAATTGAAGAAGGGAGCAAAACAAAAGTGATGGCACAGACACCATGTTGACACGACATGTTAACCCAGCTGAACGCCACATAATCCCCTGTAGGAGGGAGAGCGCAGCATCTTTTAACCAGCCGGGCTCCTCCTGAACGCCACCGCGAGCCCGCCTCATTTGCCCCTCCCCCTGCCTCTCCGCTACTGCTGGACTATCAGCAAGGGTCCACCAGTGTTGTTCCTAATTACCTATTTCTCCACTCCTGATCCTGCGGCTGGCATAATTAGTTACCTGGGGCTGCAATCCAATTTGAAGTGATGACAAGAAAGTGATCCATGAAAAAGTAATAAGTTAAATCCAATTTCAGCTTTCCTCTAATTAAATGCACATGGAACTAATGAGACAAACCCGAGCATTTCACTGATAATGGTAATTAGCGGGGTGGATGCTGCCGACTCTTGTGCCACTGTTGGTGCCGAGCAAGCAAGGTAAAAGCAGCATGGATTCTTTTAATTACACGTGTCACTGTGTCAATGTAATTTACTGGCTTTTTGACCAGTCAAGTATGTTTAGCTGCTAGCAAGCTTGTGTAGCAGATGTTTGCGTATCCACTCTGATTAGCGGGCAGCTATGTTTTGTATGTTTCCAATACACATCTTATGAATCACCAGAAGTGGGCTGGTGTCATTGCGAGCGGCTAGGGGGATACGGTCGATGTTAGATAAAAAACCAAAGAGCCATTTAACACTGATCAAGAACTGTACAATTCTTCCCTACTTCTGTATTCACTGTTTTTCACGTGTTTCCTCTATAGCGTGCTTCATTATTTTTGACTTGAATCGGTGTTGAAATGAAAAGTGCCTCACATCTCCAAATGAGTCAAAGTCTCTCCTTGTGCCTAATGGGAGAGCATAGATGAATGCAGGCTAGCGGGCAGATCAGGTGCTTTTATGAGGTGTCGGCTTACTACACAGCCACAGTGTAATTGTGAGATCATGTCTTTTGATGACCCAGTCGGGCTCAACAGAGAATCATTACCCAGCCAAGTGATGGAGATGGGGTATGTTCTGAGGTAAGGGGCTCCTCAAAGCAGCTCAACTGATGTGAGTGGAAAAGCAACCACCACTCAGATCCAAAAGTGTTGTTTGCGAGTTTGTAAGATTTTGCATTTGTTGAGTAAATGGACAGTACAAAAATGTTACATTAAGATGCAACACAACATCATTTATTAAACAGCCAATTGTAGCACGTTTCACAAATAAATCACATGCTTCCAAATCCATAAATTTCCAAATTATTCATCTATTGCTTAAAATATACATGAAATATTTTGAATGAGGGAGAAGTGCACTGATGAATATATGCTGGAATGTATTAGGGTGGTTTTCCTGTCAAATGCCTAAAGCATCTAGTTGTAAAATCAGGGCTTACCATTGAAAACAATTGTATACCAAACCACAGAGTGATGTTTATGTATGAACTGGCTGTGTTCAATTAGCAGAATATGTGATACTGACATAAACAAACACTTGTCCAGACCTGTGGCTGCGTTGTAATGGCACTTTGAAACCAGTAAAATGAAACATTCAGCATTAGAGGCCAGGCAATTTCTGGCGTTAGTTAGCTGCTCCGGCACCATCTCTTCACATAAGCTGGGCAGGAGAGGGGAGGGGCAGAGCAAGAGCCCGCTTCTCTTTTCAATAGCTGAGTGACAGCTTGGCCAAGCTCTCTGTATACATTAATAAATTAGAATTTTAATTTTGTCTTTGTCTGCAGGAGATGGTCTCACACTTCACTATGTACCAACAACTGGCAGTGCGCTGGAATCTGCCGTAGTGGTCCCCTCTGTTGACCTCTGCAGCACAATTCCCTGCCAGGCTGGGGAAACTGTTTAGTTTGATCCTTTCAACTTATTTGAATCCTGACAAATATGCACACAACTGAAAGGTCATCACAGTCATATTTCATCCTCTGGAGCTATTCCGAAGACATCTGCACAACAAAGAGGCGTTTTCACAACCTGACATTAGACCTAGCCGCTACAATAGCTCATTAAAATGGGCCCCCAATGGGATAGTAGGGGTATTAAATATTATACATACATACATACATACAGAACAGGGCCTTCGTATTAATTACCAAATATGCCCTGAAGTCGTTTTCAATTTCACACTGACACAAACAACCGCTTCTTGTTCAAACAAAGATATACATCTCTGAGGCAGCTGATATGCCTGAACTCAAATTAACTTAAATATTGTATCAGATAAGCCAGTGCTTTACATATTAAAGGCCAGCCGCAAAAAATCCAGACCCTTTTTAGTTCTGTTTGTTCAACATGTCTCAGAAACTCTAAACACAACCTCTTTACTCTAGCTCCACCTACACCTCCACCTGAAGATCTTGCCTTCTCAAGGTTGCTCTATAGCGCCTCTTACTGCTGGGGCTGGAAACTATTGCTTGTCTGTGAAAATGATGCATTCCTTCTCTACTTCATGTTCACTAACAATTATAACAACACCACAGTGAAGTAATGCCTAAACTTGTGATCCTGCTTTGAATTATATAGTATTTTGTGATGCATCCAAAAATAGAGTTGATACAATATGATATCACTGAATTAATGAAAACACCATTGTTCAGTATCTTTCAAATATTTTCATGATTGCATACATTGTTCTGCAGCATAAAAAACTGCAAAGGCTTGTCTGACTGAAAGATACTGTAAGATGCAACAATTGTTAGAGGTTTTCAAAGCGCCATATGTTAAAGAAATCAATGCACAAACACTAGCTAAGCAGCCCCATAAATTGCACTATATAAGACTTCAAAGGATGCAGCAAATTCACTTCCTGTTTTGAACTTGCTGCTTTGCGAAGGGGACAGTTTGTGCTCACTTGATTTTCTTATACACAACAACCACAGAGAGCGACTTGAGTATGTGATAATAAACAAGATGCAGATGTACACGTGACATACCTGTATGTTGGGCTGAGCGTCGTTGGTCTTGGGGGATTTACGGCCTGCGTTTGGTTGAGACTGAGGCTGCTGTTGCTGGAGGAGGATCTGTCGGGCCACCTGGAGGGCCTGAAAGTAGAAAATTTACATGTTATAATTTGTTCACATGGGGGAACAATGATTATTTGTTTTATTATTTTATTATTCAGATTTTTTTGTGTGACATTTGATAACCTTTTGAAAAAGTTTACATTTCTTAGACTTGTGGTAACCTAAAATTACCGGTTGAGAAAAACTCTTAAACTATTAGAAAACAAAATCTTGGTTTGATTTATTGATAATGTACATTTTTGTACATTTTCCTCCCTATTTATTTTTTTTTTTTTTTCAAAACTTTTTGAAATATTGCATGCATACACAAGTATTCAAACTAGGCTAATACAGAGACTGCCAAAAATAAATACTATAAATCACTACAACGTACAGTTCTCCATTTTTCTAAAAAAAAAAAAAAAAAGTGTGTGTGTGTGTTTCTTTTTCTTTCAGATCATTTGTTATTTTTCTTTTTAGGCCCTACATTAATCATGGCTATATAATATTTACACAGTTTGACTAATAAATGAAGGCATGTGCATTTTTTGTTTTAATTTACCTGAACTTATGGTGGCAAAAAGTATATTAAAATATGACCATAATACAATTATTGTAACAAAACAAAGTGCTAAATGATTCACTCAGTAATAATAATAATAATGATAATAAAATCTTTACACATATTGCAAAAGATGATTAAGCAATCACAACTTTCGATCCTCCTTTAGTTCACTCTCTTGCAGCAGAACAAGGTTGCTTCAGATCCTCGTGTTAAAAGACACAGCCTTCGCAGTGGAAAACAAAATACAGTGCAGTCACATGTTTATTGCTCCAGCTACTCCCTTTTCCCTTACGATAATAATCAAACATGCCATCCAGAACAAACAAAAGTGGAGGGAGCTTGCGGTCTCAAAAAACTCTCAGCATTACAAAGAAAGTGATGGGTTCCCACACCTTCCACCAGTAAACCATCTGGGTAAATAACTGGCCTCATTCTTTCCCCTTTCCTCAGACGATAGCTCCCACAATTAAACAAACAGTGCGGGGCCCGTGCAGCTCATCTCACATAAGGACAATATATACGTCAAGGAGAGAGCAGAGTCTAACAATAAATGGAATGTGCTACGTGGAGACAGAGGGTGGTAAACGAAACCTGTGTGAAATGGACAGCAAGTGAATATATGAAAGCAACCGCCAGTAAGAACAAACAGGAAACAGAACTATAAAAGAGTAAATGTAAAGAATTATCATTTTTGTTTGAATATGTTTATTATAAAAAAGAAGAAAAAGCACCACTTAATAAAGTGACTTGACTTCTTGAGTACCACCAGATCTAAGACCAGTCTACAACAAACCTAAACCTGATCTACAATAAAGCTTAACTCTGAATAAGGCAGTTTTAAATAATGTTTAACCCAAAGGAGGACAAAAACATAATAGATCTGTAGAGGGCCCTGCATACCACCAGAAGCAGTCTGCGTACCAAAGTCTGAGAAACACTGCTCCTCACCCGTGTTGAAACTGATAGTAGACTAATGTAGATGCAACTATATAAATATAAAGGTATTTTATTTAATGCCTCTCAAAATTACTTGTCTAAAATATATTTGCAGAAAATTCTGACAATTTTTGATAAAGGCATTAATGTATTTTGTATTTGTATTATCTGAGTGGAGCCGTGTTTGTTATTCTGCATGTCTAATTATCTCTTGTGAAATTTGTAGAGGGGAACCCCAGAGACAGTGTGTCAACTCATACAGAAAGTGAATACATTGTAGTGACATACGATGTGAATAAGAACCACTCCCACATGAAAAGGCAATATTACCAAAATTATCTCCCCCTGCTCATCATGACGAAACACATGTAAATAAAATATAAAAACACAAGAAATCTTTTATATATAAATAGAATTTGACTCAAAAGATTACAAGAATATGCAAATATCTACCTTAGCACACCTACGGGATACAGCGAGCTTTTCCATTTTAGTATTCTTGGGTAAATGTGTGATGCAATACAATGAGCTGATGAAATTCATGACTCTTGGGGTGTGGTGTTACAGGAACACACAAGAATAAACAAAGATGTGCATTAGATTTTTCTCTGGAGCCAGTGACACATGCTGTGAAATGTGTGTGTCAGGGTTCATAGTCCAGAACATTGAGTCAACAGGATATGAGAAAAGTGTGCAGAAAAAATATAGTTTTCCCAACTAATCAACAAAACAAGTGACTCCTAAAAGTAATGATTTCTTTAACTGTTGGTTGGCCACCAGTTTTGGAGATGTAAGAACATTGCCTGGATTGCTCCCATAGACTGTATATATAAATGGACATAGCTAAAATGCTAGGCGCCGCATTCCAAATAGGAAGTTCACATGCGGGTTCTTCCGGCTCCAACTGACCGTGACCATATTGTCACACCTCTCTCTGTAACTGCTGCTGTGAGCCTCATTGTTTTGGTCTTAAAATGTTCGCATTAACCCGCTCTACATGACCCTGTTTTGTTTTGTTTTTTTTGCTATTTTTTCCATTAAAAAAATCCTGTTCAGAATATAGAGCCCAGATCCTAATTAACCATCAGCATTGTGAGCTTCACTTGAGTGACGTCACCGTCTCATTCAGTCCACTTTTTTATACAGTGTATGACTGCTCCACAGAATGGCATTAAACATATTTAGCTTGTATCTATTCACTTACAGTTGTTTCTTATAGTGGTGATATCTGCTAGTCTCCATAGAGAAACGTTTAATACTGTGGAACATTTCAGGTAAAGCAATAACATATTTTGTAATATCTGTTGTGTAGTTACATTTTTAGGCAGGCTTTCTCGTGTTTGACCAAAAGACTACCAATGAAAATTTACACAATACACTGTTCAGTGGTGATTAATGTGTCTCTTTTTATAAAAATAAATATTTATAAAATAAATTATTCCTGAAATATAACTTCTGTGTGTGTGTACAGCTGTATTACTCTCAAGTTTGATAGTTTCCTCAGGATCCTCTGAGCTAAACTACTAAACTCCTGCACTCACAAATTAAACTGAGTGTTGAAATATTACACTGGCTCTAAGGAACTTTTGTTTGGCAGACTGCACACGGTGGACATCATATCATGCATACTTCTACTGCACAAAGAGTCCCATAAAGTGCTCTATGAACACAATCTTACTTTTATTAGAATTAAAACAGGACCAATGTGCCCACCACACAAATATAAGAGGCATTTCAGGGAGAACTGCTGCAAGCTCTTAATACATTAAACACATGTGAAAGAAACAGGGTGCCAGTTGAGTGTATCTGGAGCTGTGGAATGTTGCTGTTGTGTTTATACATGGCATGCCACAGACAGGCTTAATGCTAGGCTAAAATAACCCATAGTGTGCTGTCACTGCATGTTTACACAGCACCCACTCCTGTGTTTCAGAGCCCACCCTCATCCTCCTCTGGAATTTATCTCCTTTTGATCTCTAATTCAAAGGTGCAGGACACATGGCAGGCATGCATATAGCAAGGCAGCTTGTGATAATCTAATGTGATACAGACTCAAGTTATCCTAAGTGAGCAGTGTTTGTGATTGGCCAGAAACTAAACAAAAAACGTCAATTATTAACTAACATTTACATAGAGCCGATGAAAAGTAATTACAGCGAGCAGAATAAATAAACAATTTTAACTCACTAACATAAAAAAAAAATTACTATTACTACAATACTAAACAAAACGTAAGGCTGGGTAATTTTTTTCTTGATTGATCTCAGTTTTCAATTCAGTTTTAATTTGCCTCGTTAAAAACAAATCAAAGTGGCTTCAATATTGATTTCTTGATCATAAACAAAACAAAATAGTCAAAATTCTTCCTCTAAAGACTGAACTCTGTGCCAAACCACATGCTTTTACTGACAGAAAATTGGCAGTAGGCCTCTAAATAAAAATACTCAAGCATATTTGGCAATTAAAAATCAAAAAATCTTGATCTCTAAAATGTGATAACTTGCACAGCTTTGAAAAAAAAATATTATGCATATGTTTATGAACTGAATTAGATTTGCAGACATTTACAAACAACTACAAAGCTCTTTGCCTGGCTCATTGTTGCAGTCTGTTACTGTGTGCAGCTGCTCTTGTAAACAAGGCTGACGGCAATCTGGGGGGACCATATAAGTAGCTGAGTGAGTAATAATTGAACTGATGAATTATTAATTATTCATTTAAATGCAGCGGAGCAGGCCTTTGTAATGCACTGTGCGTTGATAAAGAGAGTGACTTGTGTAATTACGTCATGCAGAGTGGCGCGACACAACAATAGTCCTGTTACTGAAGCTGAATCCACTGGAGCTGCTTCAGAGAAACAAGATAAATGCTAAACGCACCACACGCTCATCCAGTTGTGTTCTGTAAAAAGAGCCTCCAGGTACTTCTGATTAGAAAACACCCTCCAGCCCATGACAAGGCTTTATCAGCTCAAACCAATGCACAATTTGGTATCCTTGTCATTTGCAATCCTCTTTTATTTTCCCTATGTAAAGCATGTTCAAAGTTCACAGTCTTTTCCCTCTGTGAACATAACTTCCTCAATAAACAAGCGGCCTGCTATCTGCATCTCCTTTCACACCATATTAGTGAATGGAGGCAGGAGCGTCTCTTATGTCCCCGGGCTATCACGCTGTGATAAGAGAACTGCTAAGCACTGGATGTCTTTATGTGCAGTCGGCACATGTGGATTATTTACAGGCTTTGGGGTTTCCTGCTGCTAAAGCCAGCTCCGAGTGTCTTCCAAATCCCAGCTCAAAGCAGCGCCACAGTCAGGTCGACGCTCAGCAGAATCTGTCACTGCTCCTTCTCCTCTGAGAGACCACATATGTCTTTACTTTGCCTTTTCCATGCAACTTCCTACAACTGATCACAAGGGCTAACAATAATTCCCCAGTTGGAAATAGACTTGCATATATTCATCTATGTGTGTTAATCAAAATAGATCGTACAGTTGCTGCTTTCCACTATTAGAACAGCAAAAGAATGAAATGGTGTG